GGGGGGGGGGGGGGTTCGGGGCTCAAAGGACCATTTTTTGGTCCACTTTTTCTGTAAAGGTCCACTTTTTGGTCAAATTTTTATGTAAAGGTCCAAGATATATTTCGAAAATATGGACTGGAATCGTAGAAAAACTGCTCCCTTTGTCATTGAATAAAAATTTATCTCTGATTTTTTCTTGGAAATCCTCTCAAAAATGCACGAAATGCCATTTTAGAAGGTTGATTTTTCAAAATTTTCCGGGGGAGCATGCCCCGGATCCCCCTAGGAAGCTCCCGCCTTCGGCGCTCGAGGTCCCCTCAAGCAGTGGGAAGAACCCCCCATTCAAAATCCTGGTTACGGCGCCTTCTGTGATAGATCCCAGGTTAAAGTCATGACTGATAGAGGTCTCACACCAGGCGCCATGAGTTGTGTAACCTCTCCGAAGGGTTCGTACAACCGCCCAGGGGTCATTGACCCGCGTGCCGCTTCCAAGAAGAGATTGGTCACGGCGAATACGTGCTATTAGCGTGAAATCATTCGGACACCCGCATCTGATAGTCTGTAATACATGTAGCAATAGGAAATTGGCGTGAAGGGAAGGAAAGGTTGGGGACGATCCATTTACTAACTGCACTGAGGGACAATAATTACCTCCATGAAAAATGTGAAAATTCTGTGACTTCCTATTGGTGAATGATGGGAATTTTATACCTTGTGACATGTGTAACATACTTAAAGGTTAACACCACAATGCATACATTATGTTAATGCGGTCATTTGCATAATTAATGAGGACACGTTGAAATGAAGCATGACGAAGGAGAGGATTTTCACACGCAAAATATTGAAATTTGAATTTAGAAAACCATAAATTAAACTAGATTATGGTATAGACCATAGTCGATGAGACAACAACAACAAAAAAACATATACAAAAACTCATATTTTATGGAGGTATGAGATCTCAGAATTCTTATTTGATTTGTAACAATCCTCTATTTGTTTAGGCATGGTCCTATGTTTTGGCATTGGGTTTGCATCATATCATATTTTGCTCGTGTTTTAAAAAGTGATTTGGAATGAAGTATTACACGTGTTTGCAGCTGTGCTGCGGCGGTTAACATTTTGTCAATGTTTCAAAACGTTGTGTTTTTATAGTCGTTTACCATTATCATAATTGTTTGCTCAACCATAATTTTGGTTACAATAACCCTACCCAGCATGACCATGGCTACTGTTACATTATATTGCCTATATGATATACTGTCGTATTTACATGGCATATTGTCAATGTCGTAATTAAAATTACAACCGCTGTATACTTTTTACAATTACTATATTACAATTACTATATTTTTTATAAAATTTATAAGATATTATAAGAAGTTATCTTTCCATAGGCCAAAGCAAATAAATACTAATTGTAGGAACAGAAGAAACATAATGGTATTTTTTTGGTATTAGTACACATAGAACTACTGATAACTACTAAGGAACTACTAGTAAAAACTACTGGGTTTGACTTCTTTTTTGACAGGGGAAGACAAAGGATCCCACATATACATGCCTCTTGGCAGCCGGGGAAGGCTGAATTGTAAGGCTATTTTACATACAGAGGTAATCGTTACAAAATACATTGTTAGAATTTGCTTCTTCAACGTTAAAAATTCTAAGAACAATTGCGATCGAAGGTAATTTTGCTTGCTTGTTTTGGTTGAAAGTTGCTAAAGGTTTAAGTTTTAAACGACGTGAGCTAGTGTGGTGTAGTGGCAGAGTAGTCCCGGGTTCGAGTCCCGACATGCCACCGATCTTGTGCCCTTGAGTATTTGTTCTATGTGCGTGACACAACAACAGCAACAGCTGCCTTTGTATTGTATTGTTACGATTTCAATAAATAAATCAAGTTAGGGATTCGATTACAAGTTAGACTGACGTTTCGTCTGGACGTCTTACGGGTGACCTTACCGTTTTACCAGATGGTGTGTCCATATTTCGCAATTAGACATGACAGTCGGATGCAGAGGTGATGTGTTCGACCTCTAGGATGGCGTTAAAGTGCCCCGAATGCTGCCCTGAACATGCAGCGGGGCCATTAAAGGCATTACGGGCAAGGCAACATGAAACGTAAGATGACCCCACGTTACGTCTGACTGCTTTGGTGCTATGGATGATTCTGGATATGTGATATGATCAAAACGGCGCCTTAAAATGATGGGAATGGCCACGATTATGAAGAGCTATTGAGAAGGTAACAAAATGGAGTTGTCTACTGTTGAAGTCCTTGGGAAGTACACCAGCGCACAGTTACTAAATGAGCTGCAATCGTAGGATCAAGTGAAGGAAAATGGTCGGGTAAAAAAGAAATCAAACTACAAATGAAGAACTGGTATCTTTCGCTACTACAAGTAACACTGATATTGCACGAGTTGTCTGTGAGTGCGGCGGAAATGTACACGTAACATTTATTTGAACGATGGTTTGTAATTTGCCCATACAATTTTTCATAATTATGTTATGGCAGTTAACTAGGATGTCTAGTGTACTAATTGTCTGTTTTTTTTATACCAAATGTTTCTTCTGTTCTTGCAATTAGCCCTCGGGCATGAATTTGCAATAAAACATATTATTATTACATCTTTTGCTAAGATCTAATAGACCAGCCTACTACTACTACAAATGTTCTCTCTTCAGAAAGGCTCCCGAGTGGCGTAAATTTGCTGACCTAGTGGTGCGTGAAAGTTGTAGCTGAGTGAGTTATTGGATTCAGATTGGGTCTTAATTCCACGATATAGTCTGTCGCACAGAAAACACAGTACATCATCAGACATTAGGCCACAGCAAGTAAATTTTATGGATGACATCCCCCGCAGACTCCAAATCCAATGCGAGCGGGCGAAAAAAAACAAGGTTCCTACATTTTAAAATTTTGACTCAATCATTGTACAAATGGTTCTGATTCAGTGAGAACATCACACATACACAGCCAACATCACATATCACTGCATCAAAGTAAGAAACAAAACATTAAATCAGAGCCTTTTCTTGTCTCCTCTCTTTATAGTTATCTGTTCATGCCATCCACCTTCCGGCATGGCAACAGACATCTTTGCACTGTCAAAAGGCAACACATTTTTTCCCAAATCAGGCGAAAATTAATGCTGATTGTCATCCATAAAAATTACTTGTGTGGCCTTAGCTATCATCTGGCTGAGGGACTATGTTGAATACCGGTCCGGGAGAACGTGTAATCAGACCAAATTACTGTTGACTAATCCATAATCTAACGGCACTATGCATATAGGTGCCGCTTGAGATGATTGACGTGAGCTGTGAGGGTTTAAAGTAATTAGCTCCGCGGAGGTTACGTGTTCCACCGCACGTTTCGGTTATTAGTCGACCTGTGTGTGTACACGATGATTTAAGAAGTTAGGATTGGCTTTATGAATTATGACATGTATGAGTGTTTTTGGCGACGTCTCAGGGAGGAGCCTTATGGTACAGTATTGTGTGCAATTCGCAATAATTCTTAGAATTGTACAGGCATTTTGTCCACAGGAATGGAATGTCCACAGGCATTTCCCTGACCCACATCTATGCCACATTCCTGGAAACCATTGGGAAGACCCAGAAGACGTGTCTGCCCCGGATGCCAGGCCCTACTTTCTGTGACCCCGGGGCTGGGTCACTATACACTCGGGGGAGGAGTGCACTGTATCTGTCTTGCTCAAAATCATGAAACGATGGCAGTGCCATGCAAACAATAACCCTAACAGCAACCACCGTCGCCATGGCAATGTATGTTTTCATTGCGTCTTGTTATAATACTGTATAACTGAATAGCCTTCCAGAAGACCTAGGTTATCACAGAGCTACAAGTAGTCATGATAATACCTGTGACCCCCCCCCCTGCATTTCTCTTCCTCAATTACTTGTTCTTTTAGGCAATATATTCTATTTTATGACGATTTACCACATTTGTGGAAGGATTGACATAACAGGTGACAATCACCTCTTCAAAGACGTCAACCCCGAGACCAGACTGTTATGTTTGAATCACTCACACCGGGAAGGTCCCCTACTCTTTTCGATAAGTGTGGTGAGGTGTGGCTCTCCCAAACACGGGGACGTCCCTAACCGAAGCTAGGTACTCATTTACACCTGAGTGAAGAGAGGAATGTCGTGTAAAGTGCCTTTCCCAAGGGCACAAGATCGGTGACATGGGCAGGGTTCGAACCCGCGACCTCTCGGGTGTGAGCCGAACGCGCTACGGACTGCGCCACATGACCCCACAGGCAATATCAAAGAAGGAATGCAGATGCAGATCACTCCATGTCAAATTTATACCGGATATGTGTTGATGGCTGTCAAATATGATTTCTCAGATGTATTCAACGGCGGGGTACTTTTGTTAAGCCGACGTTTTTTTTTTGTGCGCTCATGTCGAAAATTCTGGGGGAACCCAACCTTAATTCATCCCGATGCGACATCAAATGAGATAGGTCAATCTAACAGTATACATGATGACTTCTCTCACAAATTTCCTGATCACTTCTCTCACAAAAAAAGCCTGGGTGACAAATTAAGGTGATCAACTGTATGTGCTTAGAGCCAGGGTACGTGTAGTTATTGATTATTTCTGGAGCTTTTGAGCTCCAGTACCTGGTGTGGTGTGTGTGTGTGCATGTCAGCTGTGTAAGGAGTTCGCTAGCCTGGGTGCCAGGCCCCTAGCACGCTGGACGCAAAGTATCTCAGTGCTCAGTGTCCAGTGTGCTATGGGTCTGGCTTCCAGGCTTGGAATTCGCTTCAAAATGTACATGTACTGCATCTGGCCGCACGGTACCTCTAGCTTCGGGGCCAGGTGCGCTAAAAGCCCGACTGATTCTCTGCTTTGTCCCGTACGTAGTTCCTGAGGCTCCAACAGGTGGTGTTTGAGCTGGTGTCCGTGGAGTGTGTGAGGAGTCCGACCCAGAACGGACTCCTACCGGCAGCGCGACACCTCCACCTGCGGGGCCAGATGCGCTACATGCCCGACTGGGACTGCGTCATCTTCCTCTGCTCACCACTGTACGTATTGTGACGGAAAACTCTCTCACGGAATCTTCTCAAAATAATCATAAGAAATTAGAAATCTCAGTAAGTGGATAAAACTAGAACTTTCCGTCCTGCATCTCTTACAACATAAACTAGAAACTAGAAACAAACTTTTCAAACAAACAAACAAACAAACAAACAGACAAACAAACAGACAAGAACCAACAAAAATGATACCCTGATTACCTCATGTTGCATAATCCAAAACACGAACAAAATGCTGTAGTTGGTAATGTACATTATCAACTTGAGCAAACAAACAAACAAAAAAACAATTAAACAAACAAAAATTAATAGTATACTTTTATTTACGCAACTTTTCAGTATCCAGAACACGAACGAGATGCTTGAGCTGGGCCTGTACATTAACTCGGACAAGCAAACAAACAAACAAACAAACAAACAAACAAACAAACAAGAAAACAAACAAAAACAGTAACTTTAAATTCTCGCACCTCCTTTTGCAGCATCCAGAACACGAACGAGATGCTTGACCTGGGGCTGTACATTAACTCGGACAAACAAACAAACAAACAAACAAACAAGGAAACAAACAAAAACAGTAACTTTAAATTCTCGCACCTCCTTTTGCAGCATCCAGAACACGAACGAGATGCTTGAGCTGGACCTGTACATTAACTCGGACAAACAAACAAACAAACAAACAAGGAAACAAACAAAAACGGTAACTTTAAATTCTCGCACCTCCTTTTGCAGCATCCAGAACACGAACGAGATGCTTGAGCTGGGCCTGTACATTAACGACCTGAGCATGCACGATAACAGCCGTGAGCTGGTCATGGCGGGCACGCAGCACATGGCCAGTCTGGAGGTGTCGTACGAACGGGTAAGACTTTTCTTTGCATATCCGTTAGCAGGGACCGTCATTTGTGTTGGTGAACAAGGTTCTATAAAGTCAATATATAGTAGAGGGGATTCATTCCTCAAGCTAACCGACATCTCGCACACACAGTCGTCCCTAAGTAAGACATCACTTGGAGAAGCCATACAGGCGAAACCGGTCGTGTGACAGGCTGAATAAAAGTTCTAAACGGGAACTAGAGAAGTAACATTTGCAAAGCAAATGCATAATGTTTACCTTCAGACATGGTCTGCTTTGTTAATGCTTACTCAAACACATTCACATAGATGTACTACTAGTATATGGTGACAGGAGCAGAGCAGACAATGACATTGCAACATTATGTAACCCAACACCAGTCACCATGGTGACAGATGTCAACAATATCATGTCATTGGTCAGGTCAGAGGTCATTGTTTGGAGAAGAAGAAGAAGAAATAAACTGAGCAAAAACAATATGTTTTCCTTCGGTAAACATAACTATGCGGCTCCAGATATCTTACGCAGGGGCGACAGCGTGTGTGAGATGCCGGTTACCTTGAGGAATGAATCCCCTCTACTATATACAGCAACGTTCTCGAAGTCATTTTGACCTTTCGTTTTAACAGAAAGCTAAACGTAAATGATGCTTTGGACTGTCATTGTTTTTCAAGAGGAATAGTCTGAATATTACATTGGATATAGTATGCAAGTGGTATAATCAGTCTGAATTGTAGTACAGGTATCCATTATATGTTCTCTTTCCACTGTTCCATTGTGTTGAATACCAACCGGTGCACGTTTCATGTCTATAGGACTAACATGTTACAGTGTATACTATCATGAAAGTTCATCTGTGTTGGTAGTTACATGTTTAAAGTTAAAACTTTTGGTCCAACACAAAAAATTCTCTCACCTAGAGCTTTCGACTAGTCACTCTGGTCTTCCTCAGTAGACTGACCCAGTGAAGCTTGTCACGTGGCTTCTTTGAAGTGTGACGTCAACATTGGGTCAAAGGTATCTGGTAGACGATGTCGGCCCCCGTCGCGGTTCAATGTAGGGTGATGTGCCCTGATGTATATGGCTTCCTTCACCCCTCTCAAGAAATAGTCTTGTTCAGTGTCTAAAATCCTTACAGTGTCAAGTGAAACATGACACCGTCTACCAGATACCTTTGACCCAGTGTTGACGTCACACTTCAAAGAAGCCACGTGACAAGCTTCACTTGGTCAGTCTACTGAGGAAGACCAGAGTGACTGGTCGAAAGCTCTAGGTGAGAGAATTTTTCGTGTTGGACCAAAAGTTTTAACTTTAATCATGTTACAGTGTAGATGTTTCTGTCAATTGACTTGATTTTATGAATGGCATATCTTCTGGAGACCACAGATTGGATGCAAGAGGCATTTCTTTTTTTGTTTGTTTGTCTTTAGAAAGAACAATAATCAACATGAATATTTATTGCAGTGCCATCCTTAAAATCAATTTTGTCACCGTGCATCTATGTTGGTAGAAGTCATTATGAAACGGACTCAAAACTTTAACACAGGATAGAATTTGGACCTTCCCAAACTTTTTACTGTACAACTCCAGTCAGGAAATATGTGCCCAATCACAACAAGACTGGCAATGAAAACAAACATACATTGCCATGGCGACGGTGGTTCATGATAGGGTTATTGTTTGCATGGCACTGCCATCGTTTCATGATTTTGAGCAAGACAGATACAGTGCACTCCTCCCCTGAGAGTATAGTGAACGAGCCCTGGGGTCACAGAAAGTAGGGCCATCTGGGGCAGAGAGGTCTTCCCAAGGGTTTCCAGGAATGTGGGCATAGATGTGGGTCAGGGAAATGCCTGTGGACATTCCATTCCTGTGGACAAAATGCCTGTACCATTCATAGAATTCTTGCGAATTGCACACAATACTGTACCATTAGGCTCCTCCATGAGACGTCGCCAAAAACATGGGCATGTCCAAATTCTATCAAATATTGGAAGTTAAAGTTTAGAATCCGTTTCATACGACAGTGATGTTTTAGGTCTTAGGCACAACACTGCGCAGACTGGTCCTAAAACAATTGCCAGAACCACCGAACTACTGGAAAAACCTGTGACTCTTTCGATGCCGATAATGGAATGCCATTATTAAGCACTATGACAAGACAGTTGTAGATTGACTGTTTTTGTAACTATCTCACATAGGTATGCTATGCTTTGTTGCTCGCTAAAAGTTAAGTTAATTATTGTGGCCAAACATTTCTTTCAATTCCTGTGTGCATTAGCCACCGTAGTTGTCTGTGTACAAAAATGAATCTCGCCACTCAAAGTCCACACTTCATATTTGTTCTGTAAACCTTTGATATTGGTAAGATTCATTACATTTATAAAATCATCTTTTAAAAATTGATGTCACAACCAGAACCTGACTATATATTGTTGCATTTGTGTTTAGAAAGTTGTTTGTTGTTTGTAATCATCTGTACAATGTGTGTCTTAGTGCAACATGTTGCACAGATTTTCTTGCCACTGGCCTCTATTATGCTCCTGCTCTGTTTCGTGCTACTGTTATTTTGTATTTTGCTCAAGCCTCGCGCTACAGTATATTGTATTTTACCCAAGCCGCGGCATTGCCATATTTGCCTGCAGCTTTGCTATATATTGCTCAGCCTATTATTATTGCCATCTTTGCTTACTTTGAATGCCATGTGCCACTGTGTGTTACTGCTGCATAACATTTTACTTCAGTCAACTATAACTGTCCTATTGTGGTGCTCCTTGTTCAGCACATAATACACGATAGTATCAGAATAAAAACGACTCTTGTGAGTGTGGTTCTACTACATGGCGATTTGACAAACAAAAACAAACAAAAACAAACAAAAACAAACAAAAACAAACAAAAACAAACAAAAACAAACAAAAACAAACAAAAACAAACAAAAACAAACAAAACAAAAAACAAAAACAAACAAAAACAAACAAAACAAACAAAACAAACAAAAACAAACAAACAAACTTGATGACCGTTTGGTACCGCTCAATTTGAAACATCACTCCAGTATAAGTTTCTCCAAGTGCCACTTGTTTATTTTGCAAGCCGCTGCATCTTACTCTCCAAGCAGAGGTTTGGGTTTTGGGTTATTTTTGGCGTGTTTTTAGGCTTTTTTTTCATCGGGGTTTCTTTATTGCACTGGAATTTTTTTCACCCAACCCCAAAGTTTTGGGCTATTTTTGGCGTCTTTTTAGGCTTTGTTTTTATCGGGGTTTCTTTACTGCACTGGAATTTTTTTTCACCCAACCCCAAAACAAACTTGAGTGAAAACAATTCCAGTGCAAAGCCTGATAAAAAAGCCTAAAAACATGTCAAAAATAACCCAAAACCCAAACCTCTGTTTGGAGAGTAGCTGCACCTCATTTGCAGCCGCTGGAGCATGTTGCACGACCGGCAGTCTTGATTCTGCCACCGGGCCGTTTGCGATCATGTTGCGCTAAGGATACTGATGCCTGTCGGCAGGCCATTTGCCCTCTTCAGGTCCGTCTGTCCCGTCTTGTTGTGCCCCGTGCTACTCTGTGTGTTCTTCTCTAGTCCAAACAGCCTGAGGTCTCCTTTCTCCAACTTCTTTCATACCGGAGGTGTCTTCAAAAGTCCTATGACAAGGTAGCTTGTGTACCTGTATGTTTTCCCACCCTTCTGTATACAGCTCTAGGCCCCGCCTTGTCCACTACATGCATGGGTTGCTGCTATGCTTGTTTGCCGTGTGAAGTACAGTTGTAAAGACGACATGAAACCAATGATGACAATGTTTCTGGAAATTGTCAAACATGATAGGCAGTATATTCAATGAACAAAGATGTTCGGACAAAACATACACTTTTCTAATGCTAGGGAACATTGAATATTGCAAAGAATCCTTTGTTTTTTTTATTGCTGCAGCATGTTATAATTCATTTAAATGTTGCAAGTAACGTTACGGTAGGCATGGCAGCCGGTTCAGAACCTGGCACCATTGTTCGAGAAAAACGTTCTTTTCGACTTTTGAGAAACAAACAAACAAAAGCACGGTCTGCTCTGTTAATTCTTACTCAAACACATTCTTATACTAGTATATGGTCAGACAGGAGTCTAAATCCCTCCTGCTATAAAATTGCAACATGATGTAACCCAACACTAGTTACCATGGTGACAGACGTCTGGTTCAGGTCATTGACCTTATCTGTTTGGAGAAGAAACAGCAAAAAGAATATGTTTTCCTTAAGTAAACATAATGACTTGCAATTTTGTATGTGGTCCGGATAATTATGTATTGTTTGCTTCTCAAAAGAACGTTAATGACGAGCAGTGGCTGAATCAGCTTCTATGCCTACCGTGACGTCAATCCATCATTTAATTGAATTAACTGCATCTAGAAAAGTAACAACTGGAAAGCAAACGCATAATGTTTACCTTCGTATATGGTCTGCTCTGTTAATTCTTACTCAAACACATTCACATACTAGTATATGGTGACAGGAGTCTAAATCCCTCCTACTATAGAAATGCAACATCAGTTACCATGGTGAGAGACAGGCTGGATTTAGTCAGGTCAGAGGTCACTGTTTGGAGAAGAAGAAGAAGAAACGTAGCAAAAACAAACTGTTTCCATTCGGTAAACATAATTATTCAGGAACCGGAAGGATGATGTGCAAGATTCGGTGTTCCCTAATATCAGAAGAGTGCATTTTTTTTGTCCGAACGTCTTTGTTTATTGAATACTGCCGATCACGTTTTGCTACCTTCAGGAACTGATTGTCATTGGTTTCATGTCGTCTTTAAGTGGCGCTTGTAGCCGTGTCACGCCTGAGGGACATGAAAGCATTTCCTCCTGACTGCGCCCGTCTGGTGGCCGTGCTTTCGCATTAACCTTAGAGCGCCATTAACACTTATTGTATAGACATCATGCGTCACGTTTGTCAAGTAACGAGGCAATTGTGTATTGGCAAGTTGAGAGGGATAAGGAAGGGGGAGGGGTCGCGCTTGGGAAAACGTAACTCAGTAACGATGCTCAGGCGGTTTTGTGCCCGTAGCCAGGATTTTGAATGGGGGGGTTCTTCCCACTGCTTGAGGGGACCTCGAGCGCCGTAGGCACGAGGCGAGCACCGAAGGCGCGAGGTTCCTAGGGGGGTCCGGGGGCATGCTCCCCCGGAAAATTTTGAAAAATGAACCTTCTAAAATGGCATTTCGTGCGTTTTTGAGAGGATTTCAAAGAAAAAATCAGAGATAAATTTTTATTCAATGACAAAGGGAGCAGTTTTTCTACGATTCCAGTCTATCTTTTCAAGAAAAATCTTGGACCAAAAAGTGGACCTTTGAGCCTTGTGGGTCTTCCGAACCTCCCAAACCTCCCCGGCTACGCGCATGGGTTTGCAAGGTACATGCGACAACAGTGTGACATGTGACAACAATTTCGCTCACATGTTGCAACAAAACGCTCAGCGCGTTAGTCAGAATAATCAGGGGCTTAAGCTGAACCTACCAACGCAGTTGTTGTCGCGAATTTTGGGACGGCGAATTTTGGGACGGACGACAAATAAAATGACATCGCTTCATATTACGATATTTTGGTACATGTAGTTCTGTCTAAAATGCTAACATGGATCAACTGATCAGTGTCTTCTGTTTTAAAGACTTAAAGTTGTTTCCGCGAGCGTTTAGGTAATACGTTTAGCCAAGGACATTGGTTCAGTGTAATATTGTAAAGGACCACTGTCTATACTAAAAAGTTCGAAGTACAGAGCTTACTACACAATTTGTGTGGGATACTGCACGGACAATATGAATGCATGAAAACAGATGCCTTTAAGAGTAAGTTACATACTTCTTGCTGTATATTTAGCAGTGAATTTCTATCTCACGCTGAGTTACAAAACGCCCTGATCGTAAATTTGCGTTAGTTTGGCGCCAAATCCGACGTCTGAACCTTTTCAAGGCAAAGCTCACCATTTCGAGCTGGCTCAGAAGGCCCATTTTGAGTACCGATTTTGGTGAGAGCATTCGAACCAACTGTAAACAGCCTTTTTCTTGGCCTGTGTGAATATACATGCTGCCATGGCATTTTCCAGCTGGAGAGTTATCTCTCTTTCTATATTTTGTTGAAAAAGAAACTGGCTTTTAGTCTTGTTTTGGCTGCCTGGTAGAGCTCTAAAAGTAATGCCATGTTGCTGTGTTTTGGTGCTGTACAGGGGGGTCATGATCTAAGCATTTCCATATCTATTGTACTTATTTTCGCTGATTAAAAATGAGATTTTGGGACTAAATGGACAATTTGGAAGTTGGACTACCCTGTCAATTCGAGTTTGCAATAGTTGAACACTCAAGGAGGTGATTTTTGACAGCTGATTTACTAGACGTTTACCATATATTTCAATTGGAGCTCGAGATGGTGGTCTGTGGCCTTCAACGTCCATAAGTTAAACGTTAACCGGCGCAGCTGTGTTGTTGCCCGGGCGTCACGCCTGTCGCTTCCCGCGGCCGGCCGTCCATCTCTGTCCGGCTCGGACGGGAACCTTTCAAACCGTCGTGCCGGCCGGACCAGCCGTGACGTCCGCTGGAAGTGATGGTCCTTTCCGCATGGGCAGTTTGATGGCCCGGGGTTAAGAGGCCCCGCAACGATAGGGACGGGAAAAGGCCGAAGCCTTTTAGTTCCGATAAGCTGCACAGGAAGTCAGTCAAGAAGCGAACCGGTAAAATTGTCCGTCGGGACTAGCCTCCTCTGCAGGCCTCCTAGCCTCTACCAGGCTTGAGGGCACGGCTGAAAATAATAGAAATTGGCCAAATAGAGAACCGGTAAAATTGTCCGTCGGGACTAGCCTCCTCTGCAGGCCTCCTAGCCTCTACCAGGCTTGAGGGCGCGGCTGAAAATAATAGAAATTGGCCAAATAGAGAGATAATTACACGCCGAGGGAGTTTAGCCATCCAGTTTTGAGGGGCCGGCAAACTGTAAACTGGATGGCTAAACTCCCTCGGCGTGTTATCTCTCTATTTGGCCAATTTTTACTATTTCCAGCCACTCCCTCAAGCCTGGTATAGGCTACAGGCCTCCGGGCGGGTGGGAGTTTTGATACTGCGTTTTGTAGAATTTTTAACGCGTTATCCTTTGCCGGCCATCCTACAACCAGCCGCCCAGGGAAGGTTTGTACCCGCCACGGCGGCTGGTTGTAGGGTGCCCGGCAAAAGAACGCGTTAGAAATTCTACGGTACTCTACAAAACTCCCAACGATCTACTCTCCTTGGCAAACTATCCAGATTTTACAACTCTTTCTGACAACGCAAAAACTGACCTTTTACTCCGTGGCAGTCCTACCCAAAACTTTATCACCACATCAGAATGTTTTTAAAAAATTTCAATTTCCCCCTTTGTTATCTATGTATTGTGTCCTCTCTTTGCCATCATTTATCATTGGATGGGAAACCGGACTTGCGCTTTTGAATTTCCTATATTTACTGTTTTGCCTGTCTTAAAGTTGCGTTTGTTTTTTCTTTATTATATGTATTTATTTAGTGGTGCCGTAAACATAAGTGCTTTCCACTTGAGTGCGGCACCACCATGTCTTGTACCTTTTTCTATGTGAACGAAAAAAAAACGCGGTATGAAAACTCCCACCCGCCAGGAGGCCTGCACGGGAGGCTATGTCAGGACGGCAGAGGCAGCACGTAGTCCCCGGAGGAGAGACCTCATCTGTCACGATGAAAGACTTGAAGATGACGGCGCTAAGTGTTTCTTTATAAGTCTGAAGAAGCCGCCGTTAAGTGCCTGCTGACTACCGTCTTAGCGGAAAGACAGACACTTGTTGATTGCACATGTTGCGACTTCTCGCTGGTGTACTTTGAAAGAAAATGGCAGCATAGAGGGAGCCTATAAAGGCAAGACTCTTGAACTGGGGTATCTAATAACCCCTTTAAATTTTTAAACACTAAAACAGCAAGAAAATGAGTCTGCGAGCTCATAAAATTGAGATTTTCGGCAGTCATACGCTCGTTGCTCTCTCGATCACCACGCGATTTTTTGGATCGGCCAAATTGTGTTCGCCGGTTATGGAGGCCCAGTCAATTTGATAGCCTAAAAGGATAGTTTCATTTTACGAAAAATACGCTCGACTCTTTGTCGATTTTTAAATTTGGCGATTCTCAAATCTGGCAATTTTTAAATTTGGCGATTTTTCGGCAATGAACAAATAGCTCGTCGACTGTGTGACCCCGGCTTAAGGACAGTGATATTCAGATTGAATAACCATATATAAGCCCTCAAGCTATACGTAATCTGACAGCTGATGACAGTTTTCATGTATAATATATGATCTGTCTAAAAAAGATCGCGAATCTTCAACCTTATCTTAGAAGTCTCACAGGGCTATGGATTCCACCCGCTTTTGTTGCCAATTTTTATAACTTGCAGCAAAAGAGCACTGTTTCTTTTACAAGCATCTGGCCTATTCAACGGTTCAAAACGTTTGTACCATTAGACGGGGAGTGGGTATATAAAACTTTTTTACTGCTTCTCAGAAACGTTCACTACGCTCGTAAACCGACCAGACTCAGTGTTATACAGCAAACCTTCATGTGATGTATCTCATTTTTTTAGATAGCGTCAAGAGTAGTAAGAGACTACAGGCCTCGAAACTAAGTTTTCTTCGTTTTGTCCCAGCACTGTCCCAAAAATTACTTTCAATTGTCCCGAAGTGAGGACGAACTGTCCCAACCTGTTTTTGGAAAGTATTGTATGACTTTAACTTGAAGTCAACTTTATTTTGCTTGTGCTCACTCCCAGGCGCACATAATTGCAGAGTAGACAGGAAATTCGGGGGACTATTCCGGATCCAAAAGCCGGGACGTGTGCCTGATAAACAAAAGAAGGGCTGACATTCTGATGTTGATTATTTTTCGATTGTCCCAAAAATGTCCCAAAGTGTCTTTTTAGTTGTCCCAGCCTAAATTTTAGTGGTCAGTGGCCATTGGACCACCTTTAATTTCTAGCCCTGGGACTATATACGAGCTGAGGAGGATAGACACTTAAGCAATCTGTAGATACGCAAAATTCTCTTTTGAGTCGCGCCACACGACAGGGGCAACTGCCGACGCGCAGGGTTATTTATGGCCCGTTCTGCAGTGCTCCGCCGGCAGCCAATGGCCGCCTGACGATCCCCATCGCCTGTAATCCTCCGCCGGGTCAGCGATCAAAGACACGCCGTGTCAGGATGATCATTCACAGCCGGGACCGGCTAGAATACAGACCGGGACTGCATGGCGCAACTTTCAAATAGGTTTACGCTCACAACCTTTCAGCGTTCCACTAGGTTCTCTTCCAGTTCTCATCAATACACCGTTAACATACCTGTCTCAAAGTCATTTTACAACAACAGCTTCTTTCCCCGGACTGCAAAATTATGGAACTCTCTTCCAAACAGTTGCTTTCCGTCCGACTACAATCCACAAAGCTTCAAAACAAAGGTCCACCGCCATCTCCTGACATAACTACATTATACTCACTTAAGTACCTCTAGCTCTATGCCTAGAAGTGGCCAAAAATAATTGGTCTTGCATTGAGCGACACCGTTAAAAAAAAGGTTTGGCATCAGTACATCAATCTATGGCAGCGAATGATACAGTCCGTTCGTGCTTATAAACCTGCCATTCTCCTGCAGTCTCTTAGTGTCACTGACGAAAGGTAGTGGATGCTACCTGAAACGTCTGACCGTTTCCAAAATCATATCCAGTTGCTTGAGTAACTGTTTTTTTGGCGATACGGTCCGTTAGTTTCATCAGTACATCAACCTATGGCAGCGAATGATACAGTCCGTTCGTGCTTATAAACCTGCCATTCTCCTGCAGTCTCTTAGTGTCACTGACGAAAGGTAGTGGATGCTACCTGAAAGGTCTGACCATATCCAGTTGCTTGAGTAACTGTTTTTTTGGCGATACAATCCGTTAGTTTATAACCATGCAAGACTATCTGAAGAATTAGCCTCTACCAGGCTTGGGGAGACGGCTGGAAAGAATAGAAATCGGCCAAATAGAGAGATAAGCATGCCAAGGGAGTTTGTCCGTTGAGAGAACAGCAGTTCGCCGCACCCCAACGCTAGAGTTTGGCCGCTCCCGAACAACTGTACTCTCCAGCAGCCAAACTCCCCTCGCATGCTATCTCTCTATTTGGTCGATTTCTACTCTTTCCAGCCGCCTCCCGAAGCCTGGTAGAGGCTATGCAATACTATATAAAGAATATCCCCAGTTTGCGATCGTACAATGATCGTACAACGATCAATACAGCAGTTAGATGATGTAGCAGCGGTTTACAACAGTTTACAACCATGGAGGACTATCTAAAGACTGCAGTTTCGTTTGCAATCGTACAACGAGCGTACGCCGACAGACTCCATCGTGCCCCAAATCTCGCTCTTTCTCTTTCTTTCTCCCTTGGGTTAGTCTGAAGCGCGGAGAGCTCGCATTTCTTCGTTAGGCCACAGCAAGTAAATTTTATGGATGACATCCTCAACAGACTCCAAATCTAATGCGAGAGGGCGAAAAAAACCCAAGGCGGGCCGAAAAAACAATATTCCTATATTTTGAAATGTTGACATCATGAACCCTGTTAAACAAGAAACGATAGCTATATAGTGCTAACTTTACTGCCACCTGTCACAACATCCATTTGTCACTGAAACAACTCTGAAAATGGAAAGTTTTCAATCATTGTACAAATAGTTTTGATTCCGTGGGAACGTATAAAAGGAATAAAATACATCACCGCATCAAAGTAAAAGTCAAAACAATAAATCAGAGCCTTGTCTTGTCTCCTCTCTTCATGTTTATCTGCCATACACGTTCCGGCATGGCAAGGCATGCCATTTTGTCCATTTTCGGCATGTTGACCACCGTCAAAGGGCAACAAAATTTCTTGTTTGTTTTTTTCTCCAAAATCAGGCGAAAATTAATGCGCGCGCTGATGTCATCCATAAAATTTACTTGCTGTGGCCTTATTCCTCCCCTAAAACATTCATCAATGCCAACGCTACGCAGCTATTCGACGTAAGCCTGTACTTATTCCTGGCTGCACGGCGGGATTTTCCGTTCCATCTGTCAGGCGGCAGATCTTAGAGAACATTACTGTATGTCTCAATCCTCTTACCTGAACAAGGGCGATTTACAAGTCAGGATTTACGCTATCAAATTACTCTTGTGTGAGAACTTAAATAGTCACAAATCGGTAGTAGCTAAGCTGAATATGTTAACTGTATGGAAGTTCCTATAACGTGAGCGTCTGTAAAATCCAAGCTTCACAATTTAAAGGCATTTTGAATTTTGAAACATATAATGTATTCCCTTTAGCTTCTCTTACTGCCATTTTACTTTCCTTCCTTTCTTTCTTTCTTTCTTTCTTTCTTTCTTTCTTTCTTTCTTTCTTTCTTTCTTTCTTTCTTTCTTTCTTTCTTTCTTTCTTTCTTTCTTTCTTCTTGAAATCTTTCTATTTCATTTTCTTTGGGGTGGCTACTTTTAAGTGCAAACCGCCCAGCTGCAGGGAATGGAGTACATCATGTTTAAAAAAACTTCTTGATGTGTGATTCACACAACATGACGTCAGTTTAAGACCAAACAAACTCTCCGACAGTTTAAGAACAGATTAAGACGGATTAGTACAGCTGCCGTTTGTCTTGTCAACGCGGGATGACCCCAATCATCTGTTGTCATCTTTAAAGCTTAAGAGGGTCCACACGAGAGCTAGGGTGCAGGTGTGCTTGTCTGCAGCGCTACTTTGCAACAGTCACGTATACATGTACACATGCGTTTTCGTGTTTTTAAGGCTTTTAGTTTGATTTGAAAAATGCGCTTTTGTGTTTTCCAAAATGACGTAGTGATGTGTCTGTGTGTGTTTTTCAAGGTTGAGTATATACAGTCATAACGTTTTTTGTAGTCGTACAAGAGTGAAAATTAACATAGATAGCGCAAGTGCTTGTTCCTTTTTTTGGGGGGGGGGTTGTGGACGACCTACCGTCTCTCGCTGGTTGTCTGCCTCCACTTTCATGCCCGTAGCCAGGATTTTGGAGGGGGGGGGGTTCTTCCCACTGCTTGAGGGGACCTCGAGCACCGTAGGCGCGAGGTTCTGAGGGGGGTTCGGGGGCGTGCCCCAGCGGAAAATTTTGAAAAATGAACCTTCTAAAATGGCATTTTGTGCGTTTTTGAGAGGATTTTCAAGAAAAAAATCAGAGATAAATTTTTATTCAATGACAAAGGGAGCAGTTTTTCTACGATTCCAGTCCATCTTTTCAAGAAAAATCTTGGACCTTTACATAAAAAGTGGACCAAAAAGTGGACCTTTTAGCCTTGTGGGGGGGTTCTTCCGAACCCCCCACAAGCTTCGGGCATGACTTTGAAGAGTTTGTAGGTTGTATCCCTCGGCCATAGACTAGAGAGAAAAGGAACATGCATACGTACATTTTGAACTAAACACGTTATTTGTGACGACAAACATTTCACAAACATTTCGTAGTGCGATGATATCATTACCAATGCAAAAAAAAAGAACTGTTATACGAGTTACGTCGCGAACTAAGGCCATGTTGATTTGATTATATGGATGACATTCTCTAGGATTAGGAACCCAAAAAGTTGCTTTCATTATGAAATCTACGCGGTCAAGAAGGTGGAACAAAGGGACACAGAGTATATGGTATGGCGAATAATCTACTCCTCAAATTCATTTCTTTACACTTTCGTTTTTTTTCGTTTGATTTTTACATTCTACGACATTGGTATCGTTTTCCAACAACTGAAGGTATATATTTGCTCATTTTGCAACTGTTTGTACTCAACACAGTATGGTTGAAAACTTTTTTTTTGGAAATTCATGCGCGCGTGGATGTCATCCATATAATTAAATCAACATGACCTGATAGGTGCGTTTAAGAAAAAACCTGATGAGAATGGGTCTCACATCGGAGTTGTGCTTCCCAACAGGCCGTGAAGTACAGCGAACAGCTGTGCGAGAACATGAAGAAGTGCGAGGACTGGCGGAAACACAGTGACGAGCTGCTGTACCAGATGATCCCGCGGACCGTGGCCGACAGGCTGAGGAGGGGGATGGACGTCAACGACACCGTAGAGGTGAGTGAATGGATGAATAACAGGTTTATTTCAATAAAATAAAATAACAGATAATATGCCATTGCAGCTACAATCACTGAATTGGGGCGCTATCTAACAATTAAAAGATGTTTTATCTACAAATAGTTATCACAAATATATACAGAAGAGCGAGCGAAGTTAGCCATTCAGTAGCTCAACAAGGAACGGTATCGTGCTGTTTCTAAACCTAGATGTTCTGCACCTGAACTGAGAGATTTTGTTTTTAAACCTCAGCGCTCTATCATGCATATCCTCACGTCTGGGAGGTAGCCAGTTAGCGTAAGTGGGTGATTTTACTACAGAAAATGCGAGTGGAGCGCCGGTGTCAAGCCATATAACTGATCCTGCTAAGTAAATGCGCGTCTCCGATGCTACTTGGGGGTTTCCAATATACCTGAGGCAAGGGGTGGGAGGGGTTTAGTCGTGACGGCGGGAGACAATCTAACCTAATGTTCTGGTGTATGGTCTGCTCTGTTAATTCTTACTCAAACACATTCATATATATGGTGACAGGAGTCTAAATCCCTCCTGCTACAAAATTGCAACATGATGTAACCCAACACTAGTTAGCATGGTAACAGACAACCTGGTTCAGGTCATTGATCTTTTTGGTTTGGAGAAGAAGAGGAAACGTTGCAAAAACATAACGGTAAACATAAATATTGTGACGTGCGTTTCTAGGCGTTTCCGGAAGTGACTGTGATGTTTAGTTACCTGGTGGGGTTTATGGAGATCAGTGCCAAGGTTCCCGCCGTGCAGCTGGTCACCACCATCAACGACTTCTTCACTCTGTTCGACACCATCAGTCTCAGACATGATGTCTTCAAGGTAACGTACGTGTGGGGTACTAAAGCTACGGTCACAACCCGCCGTACGTGCTTTTTGTCCGTACGTTTTTTTGGGAGGCTACGTCTGCTACGTTTTTTCTGAAAACGTGGGGAAGGAGTGGCGTCTACGCACGTCACTCGCACGTCATTCGCATGGTTGGACAAAGTGTAAGAGTGTGGTCTGCACGCCACGTCTGGCCGTGAGCGGTTGCGTTCATCGTACGTTGCGCAAGTGGTAAGTGAGTTGTACGTGCTTACAACGTACGATCTCCGTGCGATTGCAACTTTACCGCAAGGAGGCCGTACTCACACGTGCTTCTTCCGCACGGCACGTACGGGGAACGCGTGTCGCTCGTACTCGCACGCAAGGGTGGTGAATCGTGTCTGCGTGCTCCCAAATCCGTAGGATTCCGTACGGAGGCGGTACTCACCACGCACGGATGCCCTGCGTTTGCCCACGTTTTTGCACGTAGACAGCACGCAGAAGCACGTACGGCGGGTTGTGACCGTAGCTTAACCTGGTATCCAGTCTATCGTGGTTGGGGCAGGCTGTCTTCGGGGCTCTAATAATTTCCCCCCGCCCAGTACAACAGGCCGCCCGGTAGGAGTGTTACGTCAATGATAGAATTTGGCACGCCGGGAGTTGATTCGCCCCATGCACAAATCAATCTTTCATCGCGAAAAACCTACCGGGGAACCTGGCTGATGCGGGCGGGGAAGAGCTTCAGCAGCCCCGTAGAAAATCCGCCCCAACCACGATAGACTGGATATCAGTTTAGTGTGGTACAGTCTTTGTGGAGGAATTTGTTTTAACACAATTCGTTTGATAGGAACCATCAATTGCAAATTTCAGAAGAGCCAGCCTCTGGTCTGCGATAACTAAGGACCCGATTGTTGAATACACCGTGGCGTGAACAAAGTGGTCAAAGGTGGACGGAAGTCTGTGTCGGCCCCCGTCTCGATTCAATGAGGTGTACACATGAATAGGGCTTGGTACAGAATCATCATCTACTCATAGAGACCATATTTTCAAGGTGCCATCCTTAAAATGATCATAAGCAACATAATATTCAGTAAACATATAAGTGTGAAATGAATGATATATGTAGCAAATGCCTACGGCGTCAGGTGCACAACGGAAATGTTTATTGGATGGCTTATTGTGTTTCCAGTTTGAAACGCTAGGTGACGCTGTGTACATGGTGGTGGGAGGCGCCCCCGAGCGGAACCCGAGGCACGCTCACTGTGTGGCCGCCCTGGCCTTGGAGCTCAACCGGGAGGTCGAGAGGCTGAAAAACCCTATCGATGGCGCAAAACTCAAGGTCAAAATAGGTGAGCTCTATCAAGACTCTGCACAGCCAGAAAGCCACGTCCTGAATCGAACCATTTGGAAAGAGTTTTCTTTGCAGAGCGTATCACTCCGGAGCCGTGGAACGGACTACTTTCCCTCGCGGAAGGAAAATAGCAACGCATAGAACTCTCGACGTGGCTTTCCGACTGTGCATGCCGTGCATGCCAAAATAGATGGACACGGGGCCCCACGGTTCTTCCGAAGTTACGGTATTTTCTTGTCGTCTTATGTTCCGCTTGTCACAATGGACTGTTTGACGCCTGCAGCTGGGGTCCGACTCTCTCAACCCAATTGTCTATTAAAATGGGATCAGAACTTGGGAGTCATCCGTTTTGTACCCCAAAATTTTCCGGTTAGCGAGAGCACCGTTACAAAACGGATGGCACCCAGGCTAGCAAAACTTCGTTCGTCATCTAACTTTATATATACTTCCAGGCATCAAGTATATTATGGACCCTTCAACTGTTATGGGATCCAGTTTTCCAATCACGCATACGGCGCTGCTAAAGTCATCAGAACCACATTCTGAGTCCATGACCATATTGTCGCACACAGATAGAGTCTAGATGACCATTTGGCGTCATGATATTTTGTACACGCAACCGTTCGTTACGACATAGCGACAACTAAAGGTCGCCTTTAAAGTAAAGGTAAAATTTGTTAGGTCAAAACAATGTTGATTCCCCTGATGAAAGTTGTATAAATAAAAATGTATAAGAATCTGGCATTTTCAACCAGGTCGGACATGTATTAAATATCTATGGCGCCATTTTGTTTCTTTGTAACAATTATTGTACCGTTAGGAATGCATTCTGGGCCGGTGGTTGCCGGGGTGATCTCGCTGAAGATGCCGCAGTATTGCATGGTGGGAGATACCGTCAACACCGCCTCAAGGATGGGGACCAATAGCGAGGTGAGTAGATCACGTGATGGTGATGGCTGTGACTATCATGTGAACATCACGTGGTAGTCACAGCAGAAAGGTCACTAACATTGTGGGAGGGGGGCGGCAGTTTTAAAGATCATGCATATAATGGTATACACGTACTTTCAAAAACGTCATGTTGACATTGGTCATCATTACATGTATCACTAGATGAAAAGTAGGTGTGCAGTAAGGACTCTTTCTCTAGCTCCACTTATCTTATAACATTAGCCAAATTTCAAACAGTAAAGTGCCAAAGTAGTGAAACAAAGTATAAACTCTTCCTAAGCTATAATGCTCTTTTCAATCTTTTTTGTTCTTCAGCCCGGGAAGATTACGCTCAGTGAAAGCGTCAACAAGCTGCTATATGGCGGGGAATTCATTACTGCATATCGGGGGACCCTACTAGTCAAGGTAGGTGTGTTGTAGCCTCTACCAGGCTTCGGGAGGCGAAGATCACGTTTTGAAGTGATTGGTCATCAATTATCCTGATGAAGGCGACAGTGGCCGATGGTCTTTGACAATTTTTGTGTTGGAATCAAGTTCAACATTTTGCTATACATCTACATTGTTTCTTAACAGTTCCTGATTGGTTGTTTGATCGGTTAATTGATTGATTGATTGATTGATTGATTGATTGATTGTAGGGCAAAGGTCGGATGAAGACGTACTGGTTGGTGGGCGCGCGAGTCGCCCGGCCCTGCTCCCCTCCCTCCCTGCTCAAGCCGCGCAGCTGGAAGGACCTCCAGCGGGGGATGAGCATAGAGTTCGACTGCATGCACGAGGTCGAAAAGGAGATGCTCCAGAACAGCCCCCTTCAAGACATCGCAGAGTCCCAGGAGTCTCTTACAGTGTCTTAAGTTGTTAGTAGTCATGCCCGTAGCCGGGGGGGGGGGGTCGGTCGGAAGAACCCCCCCACAAGGCTCAAAGGTCCACTTTTTGGTCCACTTTTTATGTAAAGGTCCACTTTTTATGAAAAGGTCCACTTTTTATGAAAAGGTCCACTTTTTATGAAAAGGTCCACTTTTTATAAAAAGGTCCACTTTTTATGAAAAGGTCCACTTTTTATAAAAAGGTCCAAGATTTTTCTTGAAAGGATGGACTGGAATCGTAGAAAAACTGCTCCCTTTGTCATTGAATAAAAATTTATCTCTGATTTTTTCTTGGAAATCCTCTCAAAAAACGCACGAAATGCCATTTTAGAAGGTTCATTTTTCAAAATCTTCCGGGGGAGCATGCCCCCGGACCCCCCTAGGAACCTCGACGCTCGCTGGTCCCTCAAGCAGTGGAAAGAACCCCCACATTCAAAATCCTGGCTACGGGCATGAGTAGAAGGTAGACGTTGGCAAGGCAAGCAAGAGGGACGCCCAGAAGACATTACCTGGTCCAAGGAGTCTCTCTAAGGAGATAGCCACTGAAAGACGTTAGAAGTACCCCCTTCCCCAACAAGAATTATTACAAACTACCAGCGAGTCCAAAGAGTTATACATTACATATCCTAAATTTAGGGAAATTGTCAGATTTGCACCACAAAAGTCCTATTCAAAGAATTATCGAGTCCGAGGAGCCTCTCCGTACCTCTTTGTCCTTGAAGAACCCCCTAGAAATGCATGTTAAGAAACCCTTTAAAACCGGCAGTCCAAAACTTGACCAGTAGAAACCGTTGAAAATGCACATAAAACCCCCTAAAGCTTCGGTCACAACCCCCGTACGTGCTTCTGCGTGCTGTCTACGTGCAAAAACGTGGGCAAACGTAGGGCATCCGTGCGTGGTGAGTACCACCTCCGTACGGAATCCTACGGATTTGGGAGCACGTAGACACGCCGTAGAACTTTAAGTGCATGTAAAACTTTTTCTACGTGCGGTCTGCGGATTCACCACCCGTACGTGCTAGTATGGGCGACGCGCGTGCCCCGTACGTACCGTACGTAAGACGCACGTGTGAGTACGGCCTCCTTACGGTAAAGTTGCAATCGCACAGAGATCGTACGTTGTAAGCACGTACAACTCACCACTTGCGCAACGTACAATGCACGCAACCGCTCACGGCCAGACGTGGCGTGCAGACCACACTCTTACACCTTGCGCAACCGTGCAAGTGACGTGCGAGTGACGTGCGTCGACGCCGCTCCTCCCCCACGTTTTCAGAAAATAACGTAGCCTCCCAAAAAACGTACGGACAAAAACACGTACGGCGGATTGTGACCGAGGCTTTAACAAGATAAAAACCGAGTCTTGTGAACTATTATTATTGTGGATAAAAGCACATAAGGCTGAATATATATATTATGAAAGAAAATGAAAATGCACTGAAATGATATAAAGTTGTTTTAGATATCTATGCCCCGTAACGTCTGTTACAGATACGTGAACGTAAATGTCCATCATATCTATACAGTTATGTAATATATAAACCCAGTCTTTCATATTGTCCACACAAACGCAGGCACTATAAATATGTGCTGAAGGTCTATTTACAATTTATTAAAGAAAAGGATGTCATTATATCCCGTACGTAACAATATCAAACGTTGTTTAAATCTATATCAAATGCAGTACCGTAGATTCATATTCTTTGTGATGAACATTTTGCATGCACTGTACATACATATGGAATTTATGCACATAGGGTTTATGTTAAATCGTTTGGGTATTTCAAACACAACGTTACTCCCCCTGATAATGAATGGGCTCGTCCTTGTTATCGTTCGAACGTCGCGGTTGTAAATATTCATGAGCTTGCCTTATTTGGTGCGGCCTACTTTCCTTCCAGCCAATGAGCTCACAGCTTTCATTTGGTGGCTCAACATCTTCTTCTGATTGGCTGAGAGGAAGATCAGGTGACAAGGGCAGCTCATGCGCAGTTATGAGGGGTTGTAATAGCCTGTACCAGGCTTGGGGAGGAGGCTGGAAAGAGTAGAAATCGGCCAAATAGAGGGATAAGCATGGCAAGGGAGTTTGTCCGTTGAGAGAACAGTTCGCCGCACAACGGACAAACTCCCTTGGCATGCTTATCCCTCTATTTGGCCGATTTCTACTCTTTCCAGCCGCCTCCCCAAGCATGGTAGAGGCTAGGGTTGTAATATTGTTCAGGGGCCGTTCTGAGTAAAGTAAACAATGCCCTCAATCTGGGAAAGAGGATTTAGTGACTCTCTACTTGGAACATATCAAACATCGGATCCGCTTGAAGAACCTACCTCCTACGGCAACGCACAACAACAATGCAAACCGTGCTTTACTGTAAAGAACAAGTGACACCGTATTATCATATACGTAGGTCAGACTTTATATCGGTGTATTGTGTACATAAAAGTCATCTGTATATCATCAACATTTGGGTACAAAATTGGACACACAGAAATATAATATATGTATACTCATGCATCACATAATTACCCTACAATTGTTCTATCTATTTCTGACAGTAGCAAGGCGGTTACATGTATATGCCTCCATTGTTTGGTACATATATATATATACGCTAAGAATGGCCCTAGCTAGTTTGCGATCGCACGACGACCGTGGCACGATCGTAAGACGAATGTGACCAGACTCTAAGTGTGACCCTAGCTCTGCAGTCTTGTCTGGTTCTACACAGGGCAGTATGTTTCCTAAGATTAAAACTAAGATAAAGATTATCATGAAAGTTCATCTGTGTTGGTGGTTACATGTTTAAAGTTAAAACTTTTGTTCCAACACAAAAAATTCTCTCACCTAGAGCTTTCGACCAGTCACTCTGGTCTTCCTCAGTAGACTGACTCAGTGAAGCTTGTCACGTGGCTTCTTTGAAGTGTGACGTCAACACTGGGTCAAAGGTATCTTGTAGACGATGTCGACCCCCGTCGCGGTTCAATGTAGGGTGATGGGCCCTGATGTATATGGCTTCCTTCACACCTCTCAACATCGACATCGTCTACCAGATACCTTTAACCCAGTGTTGACGTCACACTTCAAAGAACTTCACGTGACAAGCTTCACTGGGTGAGTCTACTGAGGAAGACCAGAGTGACTGGTCGAAAGCTCTAGGTGAGAGAATTTTTTGTGTTGGAACAAAAGTTTTAACTTTAAATAAGATAAAGATTATTGAAGATTCTGATATAACAGGGAAGGGTTGCTAGCCGTACGATGTAAGTGTGTATAAAGGCTGAATGTATATTGATAAAATCATACAATCATATACTATTTATAAAAGTTGCAATCACGCGTGCGTCCTTAATTGTTTTTGTTGGTTTAGTAAGGTGCATTCCCGTTCTATCTGCTTTGTAATTATATATACACTTCACTATGCTGTTCAATTGTACGATATAAGGCCACACCAATTTAATTTCTTGGTTAACGGATTTTTCTAGAAAAAATAATGGAGCGGGCGGGCGAAAAAAATGAAAATAAAAACAGGCCTAGGCATCCTATTATGGCCCAAAATGGTACAATAGGAGCCATGAAGTCAACACACCAGGCTGGTTCAAAATTTAAACACTGAATTTTGAACTTTAAATGATACCATTGCATTGAAAGATGGAATAACTGTAACAACTAGGATGAAAAGGACTGTTTTCAACTGTTCAGGGCAAAATATGAGCATTTTGCAGTTGATTCTGAATTTTTATTTTTATTTGCAAATCAGAAAAAAATGAAGCGGGCGAATCCGTTAACCAAGAAATTAAATTGGTGTGGCCTAACCTGTAAATAATACCAGTATATAATGTGGCTCCGTTGATGTCTAGACTGGTCGACAGTTACAAAGACGCACAAGGCTGCTGCTATACAAATACCAAAAGCACCAGGTATATATAAATGTCGCTAAAAATTAGTCAAAGCCAAGATTTCAGATTAGGCCACGCCAATTTAATTTGTTGCTTCTCGGATCGCCCTGTCCATTTTTTCTGATTTGCAAAAAAATAAATAAAAAATTGGGGGTTCTAAATTAACTTCAAAATGCTCAATGAAAGACATATTTTGCCCCAATGGTTGAAGAAATTCCTTTTCTTCCTACTTCAAATTTAAAATCTATTGTTTAATTATAAACCAGCCTGGTATGTTCACTTCATGGCTCATATTGTAACATTTCCGGCTATTATTATGGGATGCCTTGGCCTGTTTTTTTTTTTAATTTTTATTTCGCTCTGTCGCTTCATATTTTTTCTGAAAAATCCGAGAAACAACAAATTAAATTGGTGTGGCCTTAAATAAAATAAAAAAAAAAAGAATCTGTAATGCAGCCACAGCAAGCAAACTTCTGAATAACACATGCGCGCGCATTGATTTTCATCTGATTTTGAAAGAAAATACACAATACGAAAACAAAGTAGTCTGGTAGCTTTGAGTGTACCTGTAGGAGTGCAAAAAAATTGGTAGTTGCAATTGGTGCTACTGTCACTTTCTGTACATTTTGAAGGAATAAACGACTTTCTGTGATACTATGCTTATGCATGGTCTCTAATTTGAGAATTTAGGCAATTTTTCCGCGTTCTTGCGCCAAGTACTAGTTCATGTCATCCATAAAATCTACTTGCTGTGGCCTTACATCGACATCAACAACGTTACCCTGTACAGTTGGATAATTAAGACATGAAATAATATCAAGTATATTGTGTATTGATCTATTATTATTGATTCTATGTTAGTAAATAATATTTGGAGACCAGCCTGCCCGCCTTAGACCAAGGCCTCCCCCCCTAAAGTGCCCCAACAGGGGCTATATGGGGGTGTAGCCGGGGCTCATATAACATCTCAGAGCCCCGGCAAAGATGAAGATGATGAAGATGAAATACAACCTTTGCCTCTATCAGGCTTCTGAGGCGGCTGGAAAAGGTAGAAACTGGCCAAATAGACCGGTAACATGTCAGGGCAGTTCCCCAGGTGTATTTGGCTAATTTCAACTGTTTCCAGCCACCTATGAAGCCTGGTAGAGGTTACTTCTACACGTCTGGCATCACCTACCATGAATGCCAACTAGTATCGGGCCGTTAGCTGTTTTCCTTCGGCAGCCAAGAGCCCTTCGCCCGCCTATCTAAATTACCGCTACGGGGGAGTTGAGCCCGAGGGGTTTGTCCGGCCCTAGAACTCGTTTGTAGAGCCAGCCAAACTCCCCCCGGGCTAGACTCCCCCGTAGCGCTAATTTACACCAGCGGGCGAAGGGCTCTTGCGGCCCGGAAAACGAATTCTGGCTTCCAGGCAAAGGCATCACCCGATGTTCGCTAGATTTTGGTGGTCTCGTCTCCCCCGGTGGCTTGGCGGATGAAGTCGCTCATCTCGCGGTGGTCGGTCGCCGCCTTGTCCCGGCCGTGGAGGAACTGGTACACCTCCCCGTCCCGGTGTCTGTCCAGCGCCGGCCCCCAGTCCCAGCTAGGCTCCACCAGGAACGACACCCTCTGTACCACGCGGGTAGAGATATATTAGAATTTGAAAATCATTGGCCACTTTGAATTCAAAACACACGCACACACACACACACACACACACACACACACACACACACACACACACACACACACACACACACACACACAGTGCCAAAAGAAGTCCCATATTTGCCCGTTAGGTGCCCAAAGAAGTGGGTCACGTGCCCAAAGAAGTGGGTCAGTAACCCCGAAGAAGGCTGTAAAATGACTAGCCTGGTATCCAGTCTTACGTGATTGGGGGTATTGGGGTGTTCGGGCAGGTTGTGCCTTCGGGGGCTCTAATAGCTTCCCCCGCCCAGTGCAACAGACCGTCCCGGTAGGAGAGTTACGCTAATACGAGACAGTATGCTTGGGGATTTGGCTAATCAATCTCTCGTGAAATACACACCGGGAAACCTATGTGAGGCGGGCGGGACAGAGCTCTTTCAGCTCCGACCACGATCAGACTGGATACCAGGCTATAAAATGAACTGAAATTCCACTAGGAAGCACATCGGCTGAACGTGCTGCGTCTGCGTAAAATCTTGATTTCTCACAGTTTTCGTTGGGTTTTTGGTCAACGTTGCATCAGAATTTTGCGCAGATGCCGTACGTTCTGCCGACGTTCTGAGCTAGGATATAACAGTGAAATAGTAATTTACAACATAGCCATCTCACCTCGAACAGGGTCCCTCTAGCGCAGCAGACCTTGTACAGCGCCACGGCGGGCAGCATGAGCACGGAAACCCCGACCATGCACCAGCCCAGCACCTCCGACCAGAACGGGTACGTGTAGTCACCGTACTTGGTAGGCGAGTACACCGTGAATTGGAAAATCAAGATAAACTATGCAAACATACAAAATATAGATATTGATAAGTTAATTGCAAATTCCTGCCCAAAAGATAATTGCAAATAACATATATAAAGGAACATTGAAACAGAGTACAAAATAACTTTAAAATCTACATAATAAAAAGGTAATTGTCTAAACCTATAGCAATGTCTAAAACTATGTCTGAAGGGTTTAACTTCTCTTTTGCAAACCATGGGAGACGCAATGTCCCACCTTTATAAACTTTGAAGGTTTTGGGTAGTTAAAAGAAGAATAGTTTTTCTGTAAGTTTGGAGAAATTGGGATAAATTGTAGAAGTTTGAATAGACAACTCGTTTCTTGCGTTGTTATAAAACGAACAGTTTGAGATAAAGTGTATTCCTGCCGTCTAACATAACATAACACAACACTACAGCCGAGGGGAGGCATTGACCCTTAGCAGCTCCCCGATCCTCAGTGTTAGTGCTCTACCCCTCAGGACCCGCATCACCCCTCTCTGAGCGTTAGTGATCTGCCCCTTACCAGTAGACTGAGCGGCGTCAGAGCCTTCCAGCAAACCTTCCACCACAGACACGGCCGGGATCCAACCATCATGGCGATGTCGTCAAGGAAACGGTCACACCCTGGGTAGAAAACAAAATGCCGTTTTTTCTCGCGAGAGCAGATTCAAAATGGCGGCGGTATTTGGAAAGGCGTCTATTCTTACAAAGGTTAAATTGAGTTTTGACTCTTTAATTACACATGCACGCTCAACATACTTAAAACTCTATTGGCATTTTTGTAAGGAAAGCTCAGACGGATATATACATCAGATGTAGAGCATAACGGTTTCCATTGAGTGTTTTTTCGAATTTCACGAAGTACCGACGGAGGTCGGTACAGACTTCAAGGTGCATTTGACCCTTAACTGAAGTCTGGGATGTAGTATGGGGCGTTATAGACTTCAAGGTATACTAATTCTTTACTGATGTGTTAGTTAGGAGGTAAAGGGTCATTTGTACTGAAGAAGCCCACAAGTAGTCGTTTAAAATACGATACCGGAGAGCCACATATTACACATCACAATTGTAATTTACACATTTGTAAATTACCTTCGATTGCAATTGTTTTGAGAATTTTTTAATGCTGAAAAAGTGAATTTTAACGTTGTTTGCTAACTGATGACAAATGTTAAGGTATGATCATTTGATAGATTCAGACTCTCAATTCAGCCGTCCACGGCTGCCAGGAGGCATGTGTCATATCTTTTGCTAAGAACTATTAAACCGGTGTACTACTACTACTATTACTACTACTACTACTACTACTACTACTGCTGCTGCTGCTGCTGCTACTACTACTGCTACTGCTGCTACTACTACTACTTCTACTACTACTACTGCTGCTGCTGCTGCTACTACTGCTACTGCTACTACTGCTACTACTACTACTGCTACTACCACTACTACTGCTGCTGCTGCTGCTGCTACTACTGCTACTACTAGTACTACTACTACTACTACTACTGCTGCTGCTGCTGCTACTACTGCTACTGCTACTACTACTACTACTACTATTACTGCTACTACTACTACTACTACTACTACTACTACTACTACTCCTACTACTATTACTACTACTACTACTACTACTACTACTACTACTACTACTACTACTACTATTACTACTACTACTACTACTACTACTACTACACAAACTGCCGTACTGACCGTAGACCCAGCCGACCACCAGACACTCCACTATGGCGACTATGAGCAGGGAGAAGGTGCCGCTGTAGTTATCCATCAGTTGCAGCAGGTAGAACCCGCCCTGAGGACAGACAGTGGGAGGTTGGTGCTATCATAATCATCATATACTCCATGGTAGTGCTGCATACCTAAACTCAATTTTAGGTTCAGGTCCGGATTCAAGTCCAGAGGTTTAGGCTCAGTTCCGGACTTGTAAGTCCGGGCCTAAACCCATGACATATACAGAATTGCATGTTGGCAACCTTGCAATGTTGTCTGGCCAAACTTTGGCCTCATAACATGGAGGCCAGTACTTGACGATGCCCGATGGCAATGTTTTCTTCGTTTTGCAGCAAAGATTTTACAATCCACGGAAGGTTTTAGGTAGTTTGAAAAGAAAAGGGGTATGTGAAATGGACTTTTATGGTAATAAGTCCGGACTCAGTTCTTGACTTTTAGTTTTTTTTTGGACTTGAACCTAAACATTCTTACAAGTCCGGATCCAAGTCCAGTGAACCGGTATGCAGCACTCCATGGTGCTATATAGTCCATGGTGCTACATTGTAATAGTCCAAGGTCAGAGGAGATATTGGTACCACCTGAGGTGGCAATTCCCATCATGGTTTTTGAAAAGCAGAGTGTCTGTGGAATATATTTTGATATGATAATCGTTGCAGATTGGTAGCTTTGAGTTTGCTATCTGACCTTGAACTTTGACCCCATATGTACCGCGTCCTTTTGCACTTATAATGCAATGGGGGGATAATCAATTGTTAATGTGCAAACAATAAAATAAAATAAAATCAATCAAATATGGATAGTTTTCGATGTAACTTGATGGACTGATGAAACAGGAACCAAAAATGTTACTTTTGTTTCGATATGTCATTTCTATAAGTAGTTATGAGCCTTTAAAAATTCGACATTTAGGTAACGAAATGGTAAAAAAAGGAAGCCATTACATGTGAAATATGTGAAATTTGGGGGTCTGGCCAATGGACTGATAGACGTCAATGCCAATCGTCAATGCCGAGCGTCGTGTTTTCGGCAACGCCTCAGTCGTGGAGCCATCTTTACAGTATTGTGCACGTTTACAACGTTGAACTAATTCAGTTTCAGTTACGTGGCAATGTATATACATGTATATGTAACATTATACATGTACCATTCTTATTTTATTTTATTCACATTTATTTTTCGAGGATTGGGCAAAAAGTTATAAAACGTATCTCAGCCCTCTCCTCACACCTAAAAGGAAACAATAAAACAAAGTAATAATAATAAGAAGAAATGACAAAGGTACATCATGAGCTGGTGTACAAATCAAAATCAATCAACTAAATCAAACAAAACGACCTGTCTGCAAAATAAAGTTGAAAACCACATCAAATATTTTACAGTTGTTGACAAACGACAATGAGGGGTTACCCCTGAGAATGGTTGAACATAAGGTGTTGTCGGTGACCTTGTTTATGTCAAATGGCAGGATGTTAGTTAAATAAAGATGATAACATGTCAATACGTTCAATGTACCATTCTTCTGTTGAGATCTGTACTTAATCCAGTGGGTTTATGTGTACAATAAAGGTCATTCATTCATGAAATACAACGCATTATGAATATCTATTTTGCATTAACGATATAGACATTGTAGAGCGGCTGTATCAAGCCCATTATCTTACCTGAGTAACTAGGGGAAGTCCCAGGAGAAAGCCTATTGAGCAGACCCCAAGGACAATGAACATCTTCTTACTTCGCAAGCGCCGGGGAAATTCGTCAACGATTCCCGTGACCAGGGCCTCCAGCACGGCAAACTGAGTCAGAAGGGAAGGGTAACAAAGGCTAACACTAGAAAAGTAACATTTGCAAAGCAAATGCATAATGTTTACCTTCGCATATGGTCTGTTCTGTTAATCCTTACTCAAACACATTCAAAAATATGGTAACAGGGGTCGAAATCCCTCCTGCTATAAAATTGCAACATGATGTAACCCACATCATGGTGTTCATGTCATTGACCTTATTTGTTTGGAGAAGAAGAGGAAGAAACTGAGCAAAAAAATTGTTTTCATTCGGTAAACATAAAATGAATATGACGGAAAATTCATTCCAATGGCCAGGAATTTCTTGTAGTGTTTTCTGTGATGTATACGTTGTGAAACGGAGACAGATACTATTTTTTAAATTATGAATAACGTTGCTATTATCGTGTAAAAAAAGGAACGCAGTTTTGTTTTTATGTGTTTTGCATCAGTTAAAATGAATAAGAAAGCAATGTTTTAATACGATGGTGAAAGAAAGCAAACATGACGCAGTTAAAATGAGTTGCACTTAAAATCAGCTTATTGCGCATGCGCACCTGTGAATCCAGCCCCAGTGTTAGCAGCATGACGAAGAACAGGGATGACCACAGGGGGCTGATGGGAAGTCTCGCAAGGGCTGCTGGGTAGGCTACGAAGGCTAAACCGGCTCCTAAAATAACATGGGGCGGGTGGCCCAGTGAATGTCAATTTGCAAGTCATAAAAATGAGCAAACAACAACAATAAAAAGAATAATTCTCAGTAAAACGTTGAACTTTACTCCAACACACAATTGTACAGGGATCAAATTTTCAGCGACCACTGTCGCCTTCACCAGGATAATTAATGACCAATCACTTCACAACGTGATCTCGCGAGAGTTACGGTTACAAACACGGGACCTTATTCATACGAGACTTTACTGATACGTGACGTGAGGAATTGATCAAAAGTGCCAGTGATTGGTCATTAATGGTCCTGATGAAGGCGACAGTGGTCGCTGAAAATTTGATCCCTGTACATATTGTGTGTTGGAATAAAGTTTAACGTTTTACTATGATTACTACCAACACAGATGAACATTCAAGATAAGAACGATTCTCCTTACTCAATCTTCTTTAGTAAATTGGTAAACATGCATGTCAAGCTGTGCTGCTATTGGATGGTAGGTAGAACATACCGGTGTCGGCAACCTCTTCAACTTTAACCCCCATCTCGTTGGCCATGAAGCCCAGAACGGAAAAGATGGCGAAACCGGCGTAAAAACTCGTGAGACAGTTCAGCACTGAAATCACCACGGCATCTCTGTAAAACACACCGCCATCCTAACGGTAAATACTCAACATCTTACCCCCAGAAAATAACCGTCAGACAGCTCAAAATCGTTATCAACATGGCGTGCCTATTATTACAAAGGACAAGTGAAATCCTCTTATACATTCTAGTGACAAGTTGAAATATAGCGTTTCACCTGTAGTTTACCTGTAGCAGTTGTTATAGAAACGCCTATAGTTCACCTGTAGCAGTTGTTATGGAAACGCCTATAGTTTACCTGTAGCAGTTGTTATGGAAACGCCTATAGTTTACCTGTAGCAGTTGTTATGGAAACGGCTGTAGCCTTACCTGTAGCAGTTGTCATGGAAACGGCTGTAGTTTACCTGTAGCAGTTGTTATGGAAACGGCTGTAGCCTTACCTGTAGCAGTTGTTATGGAAACGCCTGTAGCCTTACCTGTAGCAGTTGTTATGGAAACGCCTATAGTTCACCTGTAGCAGTTGTTATGGAAACGGCTGTAGTTTACCTGTAGCAGTTGTTATGGGAACGGCTGTAGCCTTACCTGTAGCAGTTGTTATGGAAACGGCTGTAGTTTACCTGTAGCAGTTGTTATGGAAACGACTGTAGTTTACCTGTAGCAGTTGTTATGGAAACGGCTGTAGTTTACCTGTAGCAGTTGTTATGGAAACGGCTGTAGTTTACATGTAGCAGTTGTTATGGAAACGCCTATAGTTTACCTGTAGCAGTTGTTATGGAAACGCCTATAGTTTACCTGTAGCAGTTGTTATGGAAACGGCTGTAGCTGGACAGGGTGATGAGCTGGCCCCATGACGTGCCCAGGGAGAAGAAGATCTGGATAGCCCCGTCCCGCCACACCTGCACGTACAAGTGACGTTATATACGGGAAAGTTAACTATAGTATAACGTGAATGCTTTCTGCCATCTCGCAAAATAGGTGTAACAGTGGGGGGTTTATAGGCGCTACCAACTGACCCGGCAAACGGGTCTAGACCTTTTCGGCCGAGCGGTTAGAGTGTCTGGCTGGGGTCCAGGAGGTTGTGGGTTCGAACCCTGGCCCGGGACCAGAAGGGTTTTTACTGGCTCCTCCTGTTTCTTACAGTGGTTCCCACACCGGCCCTGGGAGTTCTGGCAAAGAGTGCCGCTCCAGGGATGTCGAATTCGGAAGATTCGAGGACGAATCTTGAAAAGAAAAGGGGGGTAGTGTAACAGTGGGGGTTTTATAGGCGCTACCAACTGACCCGGCAAACGGGTTTTCGGCCTGGCTCCTCCTGTTTCTGAGACAGGGAATGCTTTTGTGTGAATGCCTTTCAGTACCAAGGACAGTACCCACTGGTAACGTTATAATTATTATCAGGTTGCTGTGAGCAAGGTGGGCCATTCTAGAGTCATAATTGGAATTATGAAAGACGCACCTGTGGTTCGCCTAGTTTTGCCCATTTAGGCTCAAGGTAGAATTTGATTCCGTCCCAGGCGCCCTCTAGCGTCACTCCTCGGACCAGCAGGATGGTAAGGACGATGTAAGGGAAGGTAGCCGTCACCCAGACAACCTGTGAACGTATGAACGCACTGTCATTTGTTGTAAGAGAAGAATGTGTCTTATCTAAGTCCCCCTCACACACGCTCAGATAATACACGCTCTCACACACACACACGCTTGTGCGCGCGCGCATTCACGCACACAAACACACCCCAACACCCTCCCACAATCGTGACACACAAGAACACACACTTACACTCCAAAGCCCCAATTGCAAGCGTACAATTAGTGTATGTGTATGTGTAGAAAACAATTTTAATCGAAAAGTTTAATGTCCGATGCACACAGTTACTTGTTACATTTTACTTACCTTGCGCCCTCCTCTTAATGAGATAAAGGGCTGGCCTAGGTGTACTTCAACGAGTCATCTTGTATATATATGTATATTGAAATAAAGATGATTTTAAACCCCAAGATGGCGGCGCTTCTGACCTTGCCGGAGGACTTGATGCCCTTGATGAGACAGCAGAAGACCAGCAGCCAGGCCAGGAACAGGCACAGCGCCAGCTGCCATTTCACAGCACCGAGTTCCTCCACACTTCCTGTGATGTCCAGTACATAGTGTCTAAGGAGAGACGCAGGGAACGTATGGCAGAGTATGTGAGTATGAGAGTGGGAAGGAGAGACGTAACATACAACCACTCACAGCGTTACTTTTTAAAAAGTGACTTTCTTAGGACTAGAGAAGTAACATTCGCAAAGCAAATGCATAATGTTTACCTTCGGACATGGTCTGCTCTGTTAATTCTTACTCAAACACATTCACATACATGTACTACATTTGTACTAGTGTAAGGTGACAGGAGCAGAGCAGACCATGAAATTGCAACACTATGTAACCCAACACCAGTCACCATGGTGACAGACATCAACAAATTATGTCATTGGTCAGGTCAGAGGTCACTGTTTGGAGAAGAAGAAGAGGAAGAAACTGAGCAAAAACAATATGTTGTCCTTTGGTAAACATAATTATACATATTGTTCTGTAACGTTAGAGCAATATGTTCATAAAGGTCTTTACGAGTAGACTTTTAGAGCCCCCGCTGCTCCAAATACCCCGTCACATCTGCAAAACGACATCCGGTGAAACAATTAATTGTGATCCTACAGTTAACCGCTACAGGCCGTCTCTCCTTAGGCCACACCGACTTAATTTTATGGATGACATCCACGCGCGCATTGATTTTCGCCTGTCGCCCTAAAAAAAAAAGATCACCTCCACCGAAGCTCTGGCCTGGCTCTAGGCCTGGGTAGTCCATGGTAGTCAGCGACAATACGGAGCCGAGCACCCAGGCTATCGAATTCGAAGCTCCGCGACTCAAGAACTCAGTACATAAGTCGATTCATAAATGCCGCAAAAAGCCAGCATGTGCCGGCTTGTCGCTAATAAGTACTGTCGCGAATTCAGCTAATTCCAGCTTTGTATTCCTGTGGTTTAGTAGCATTTTTATTTTTGGCCAGAATTTTTTTTATTCACCCGCGCACACTAGTTTTGGGTCTTCAGAGGATGTCATCCATAAAATTAAGTCGGTGTGGCCTAACCGCTTACAGACCGGCTCTCCTTACTTCCAGAACTCCTCACTCTGGCTGACCCTCTTGGAGGCGTTCCACAGTTCGGTATCCTGGATCTCCGTCCGGTTGTACCACGTCCCGTTAATCCAGATCATACCTGCAGTGAAATACTAGATGAGTGAGACAGTGACAGGAAGAGAGAAATTTTTTAAGTCCGAAGTATCATCCCCCATGATTGGTAATGGTACAACTCATGTTCCCCCACCCCTCACCATAATTTCCTTTGCCAGAATGTTGTTTTTTTTATATTCCAACATTTCATGACTAGACATGGTGACAGCAATCTCAAGTTACATCAACTTATTTTATGCCGCCACCAACGCAGAGGACGAATACAGGACATGACAATACACGGGAAAGTCGTGTAAAGTGCCTTTCGCAAGAGCACAAGATCGGTGGCATGTCAGGACTCGAACCCGAGATCTCTTGGTTCCGAGTCGAGCACGCTGCCGCTACGCCACGCGACCCCACAATGTTTAGCATTCGGTTTGGCTATGGTGTAGGTTGACTGTGGATTCATGCGGCATATAATAGCGTGTGTATGTTCTTGATTTTGGTATGGTACTGCCCTCCTGCAATACCATAAATAGGCCCTAAGAGGCTCATTATTGAACTTGACCTTCTTTTTTACTAACCCTAACCACCTACTAATTTTACAAACCCTAATTTATTAGAGTTTATGGTGTTCAAGACTTCAGTGCTCGAGTACTCATGTTCCTCCTAACTACCCCCTCACCCTGGTTGCTGATGGTACAGTCCGGGGTGTTTAAGCCATTAGTACAACCCATGTTCCTCCTAACTACCCCCTCACCATGATTGCTGATGGTACAGTCCGGTGTGTTAAAGCCGTTAGCACAACCCATGTTCCTCCTAACTACCCCCTCACCATGGTTGCTGATGGTACAGTCCGGTGTGTCAAAGCCGTTAGTACAACCCATGTTCCTCCTAACTACCCCCACTCACCATGGTTGCTGATGGTACAGTCCGGTGTGATAAAGCCGTTTAATAGTACAACCCATGTTCCTCCTAACTACCCCCTCACCATGATTGCTGATGGTACAGTCCGGTGTGATAAAGCCGTTAGTACAACCCATATCCTTACTGCGCTCTCATTGGATAATACTTAATGAAGTTATATTAACCCCCATTATAAAAATCTGGCCGCACCACACCGTGCTGTGCATTCAGAGAACTCCCCCGCACGCTACGGAGGTCGAGGGACGGCGCTCAGCGACACGAGGCCACGAGGCACCGCACCAAGCGTCGAGCTCAGGCGCCAAGGCGCACAAGACACCGAGGATAAGGTTGGAGGGTCGTGGGGTCGTGCTAAGACCGCATTTACAGTTTGTTAGTCAACCTTCAGCACCGGTAACGCTTGGTGCATGTCTGTTTTGATTATTTTAGACGGCTTTCGTTTGTAGGATTTTTCTGGCGCCGTTTTAGGTCTAGTTTGTCGGCAAGTTTCGTGTCCTTTTTCTAGTGCTTTTGAATACCGGTGTTTTGGGGTGTTTGTGTCGTGTGGGGTGGAGAATTTGGTAGCACAGGTTATTCAGAGGGAGGAAAGCTCGGGTGGAGTCTCCGTGCATTGCGTCCCATGTTAGGAGTCGTTCTTTCCGCATGGAGGAGGCTTGCCCGGGTTGGGCTTTGACGGTGGTGAGTTCTTAGCTAACAGTGATTGTTCATTGATTGCGTCGCTACAGAATGGCAGAGCGGCAGAACCCAGTCAGGCCACAGGGCAGAGGTGCTAGGGACGTACCACAGCGTGACGGACAACCCGGGCAGGCCCAGGTGCAGGACGTGGGGCAGGTGTGAGGTCAGAGGTCAGGAAGAGGGCAGCCATGTTTTTTTTAACTGTGGGAGCTGGAAGGATCTAAATTGGTAAAATTTTCATTTCAAACTATCCATCCAGTTTCCCTTTTGTAACACAATGATAGATGACTCTTTATAGAGTTGTACTGGACTGTCATTTTATTTGCCAAATGTTTTTTAACTTGAAAAAACCCCACTTGTTTTTTCAACTTGGTAAGTGGGAGGGGCCACTGCTTCCGACCTCCGGTTCCTCTGCGTCTCTCGAGACTATGTGCAATATGCTTTTAATACTAGTTAGTTAGCATTCTGTGTACTTGATAACTGTTATTGCTGTGTTTTGTAACTTTTTAGCGCCGGGTCAGCGGCAGCTGTAATAGCGTAACTGTACTATTTTATTACTATATGCATTTGTACTCCCAGAGACATGTTTGTACATGTATATGACTGAGTATATGACTGAGTAGAAGTACTTGCATACTACCAAGAGTAAGGATAGCTTGTTAACCGGCTGATTTTAGACTGGCTAATCTGAACCCCTTGTACCATTGATATCATTTAGTCTGCAACCTGTGTCAGTATGTGTTATCCAACTTACACCAGACCAGTGGCAGGTTTTGATCCTGGGACTAGTAGCTACAGGGGTAGAAGGGGAGGTGTGAGTAGGAGAGATAAGCTCTGTAGAATCAAACCCAGAGTTAGCCAGAGGAGTTGGGAAAGACCGCTGTTTAAGAGAGATAGGGTATTGTCCAATGTACCTGTTGACTGTAATTCTAAAACCAACAGTATTCGTGAAAATGGTAGAGCACTCCCTTCACTCATGTTGACTAATGTAAGGTCTCTTAGGAACAAAAAGCATGAACTGGAAGCCACAATTGAGAATCACTCTGTTCAAATTGCATGTGTAACTGAAACCTGGTCCACCCCAGATATCCCAGATGATGTAATGTCTATAGGTGGTTTCAAACTGTTTAGACGGGATCGGTTGCACCAGAAAGGTGGGGGGATTGCGGTATACTTACCTGTGGACATTCATGCCCGCAGACTGCACGATTTGGAAGACAGGAATCTGGAAGTGATCTGGCTTCAACTCCGGCCAGAATGGCTTCCCAGGACTATCCCAGTGATCATGCTTGGCTTGGTCTATCACCCTCCGTGCAAGAACAACAAACAGGGTGTAGACGAGATGATGACTCACCTGGTAACCACAGTGGACAGTATTCACAACCACCAGCCCCAAGCTTGGTAATCCTGATCTGTGGAGACCTGAATGGACTACCACTGCGACGACTCCAGGCAGCTCATCCCACTCTGAGACAAGTAGTCAAACAACCTACAAGAGGCAGTGCGATCCTGGATGTTGTGATCACAAACATTTCCCAACATTACTGTACACCACGGGTAATCCCACCAGTAGGCAGTAGTGATCACTCTTGTGTCGTGCTTCAGCCAGAAAACCCTTGCAGCTGCAAAGCAAACACACAGTCAAATGCCTCCACAGAGTGGTGACCAACACAAGGAAAGTTGACTTCGCTCTAGCCTTGGCGAGGACTGAGTGACGGCAGTGACCGATGCTCCGTCAGTCGAGAGGAAGGTTTCAACCTTTTTACTCCACCATCTCAGCCCTCATTGATAGGCACTTTCCTGTCAGGGTGAAAACTGTGCCAAAAAACAACAAACCCTGGATGACTGACAGAGTCAGACGAGCAATCGTCCAGCGGCAAACTGAATTCCAGAGACATGGTAAATCCCCCACGTGGAGACGCCTTAGGAACAAGGTGAAAACTGTCATACGACAAGCAAAGAACTGGCATTATCGCAACTGTATCCAGCAACTGAGGCACGAAAATCCTCGTAAATGGTGGGCGTGCATCAATAAGGAGCTGGGGAGAACGTGTGAGAGACCCAGGCCTAACACAACAGGCACACAATCAGCAGCAGAGGTGGCAGAAAACACCAACACCCACTTCTCTAAGTCCTGGTGCCAAGGTGAGCAACTCTCCTTGTTCCCACTCCCTCGTGGAGCCACTTGTGTGGATCTGTGTTCTATTGGAGAGGTGAAAGCCTTGCTGAAGTCCA